AAATCTCATGAATTGAAACTGAAGAGTGTGCACAATTTAATGCTCCATCTTACTGTTGTCACATGCATTTTCATTTAATATGGTTTTCTTATTTGCTTTAAGCCAAAGGGAATCAAACATCCAAGATGTGTAATAGGGTCCGGACGAGTAAATGCTACAGGCCATTTTACATCAAGACGAGGATGTGTGGCAACAGAGAGATATATTACCTCAAGACGTACTACATAAGATCAGGATTCTGCTTTTGTAAGTTTTAGACTAATATTTTATTCTACCACATGTATACTGAATGGTGCAGGCAGTAACCAGACGAAGTATTCAATTACTGATTAGACACAACAGCGGATCCGTCATTGTATTTTCCCTGTCCGCTTTTATTTTCACTTTAATGGCATCAACGCCCCGAGAAGCTACTCTTAAAAAACCCGTGGCAAATTGCCCAAATTAGAAAAATGCAATGATCTGCCCTCTAACGTCTACTTTCCTGTGTTCGATACAAAGAGAAAACCAGATTTACTTGGTGGATTGGAAATACAGGGTAACTTGGCTACCCGGTCAAGTCCTCTAATATGATAAACTATGACTGTCATTCATACATACATTCAAATGTTTTTGTAGCGCTAATATTCAGCACCAACTGCTGCTCAAAAAGCACTTCAATTACTGGTTAGTTACAGTATGCGAGTCTCTTATAATGTGTCTTTAGTGTTGATTTAAATGTCTGTGATCGAACGTCAGATAGGAGGCTGTTCCACAAGTATGGTCCGGCCTTTTCAAATGATCTGTCCTCGAACATTGTTGTGCGCGTGCGTGTCAGTCTGAGACATCACCCGGCGCTGTTCCATGAACACACTGGAACACAAGAACAAGGATCTTGAACTATATCCGATACCTTACTTTTGAAGCCATGCAGTTCACATAACGGGTGTTTTTTCTTCGAACTTTCTTGTTCTTCTGACGACTCTTGCTGCTGCGTTTTGAACTTTTTGCAGTTTGTGAAGCAATAAGTCAGTAAGTCCAAATAAGAGAGAGTTGCAATAGTCTGTGTGTGAGGTCACACAGGCTTGAACCAAATCGGAAGCTGTCCTTTGATTGGGACATCTTCTGATGAGCCCAATGTTCCTCACATGTTAATATACCCGTTTGCATACAGTATTGACGTGCTCTTCAAGGTTGAGCTGCGAGTCAACGATGACGCTCAAATTGCGTGCAGTTGATGTTGGAGGGACCACGCAGTCGCCAACCTAAAACCGAGGGACTGGATGTTTCAGATCCAGAAACAATTTAGAACATACTATCAGAAGTTCGGTTTTATCCTCATTTGAGATGACGGCCTGAACCATGTGGATAGCAGTATCTGCTGACATGATTATGCATGATTTAAAAGCAAGAAATACTTGCGCATTATCAGCATATAATGGAATCCAAATTTTAAGATCTTGCAATGTCTCCAAGTGGGTAGATGTACAGAGTAGAAAGGACTGGAGCACAGATCCTTGGGAAACACCGAACAAGAGTTGTTCAGTCGTTGACAAGTTTCCATCGATACAGACAGGTAGGTGTTTACCAGCCATGTACGACTTGATCCACATCAGTGCTGTATCGCTGAAGCAGAATCACAGATTCATTCACGCAATACATATGACAGGTCAACCAATATCAAAATAATCTGATGATCCTATACATTTGTTAAACATGATGAGAAGTACTTATATAACTGAAGAAAACATGATTTTCGGTGAACAGTAGTCATTTAAAATTTAATGGGCTACCATGGCTACTGATTAACACATAGGACACATGTAAGCTTCCATCTACTATCCCCACCCTATAACTAGTTCCCACATAAAAGACAGCATCAATACGGTATGTGTCAATGCTCTAAGCATCAGGACTGTATTAACATATCAGGTGTCAATGTTGTAAGCATAAATACTTTATTGATCAATGTTGTAAAGCATCAGGACTGTAATGAAACGTTAGCTTTCAGTGCTCTATCATTGAAAATGTATTGGCCAAAGTTGTATGCATGAGGACTGTATCAATACATTAGGGTCAATGCTGTGAACTATACTACTGTATTGACCAACGCTGTTAGTATCAGGACTGTATTAACACATTAGGTGTCAATGCTGTGAACTATACTACTGTATTGACCAACGCTGTAAGTATCAGGACTGTGTTAGGCGTAAGTACTGTGAGCATCGATACTGTATTGACCAATGCTGTAAGTATCAGGACTGAGTTGCAAGTATTGAAGCTGTTTCAATAAAATCAACATTAAATAAAATAACCTAAAACAACTACCCCAACAAAACCGTAACAAAGAACTAATACAAACATATCACTTTTTCTTATGGGCTTTAGATACACATTTATGGATCAGGATGTTGAAACTGCCAACATGATTGTGTCGTTATTGTTAAAGTACACATATTCATCCTTCAAACAACAACATTTATATATTCAAGAATATCCAGTATCTGTTACTGTAAAAGAAATGAATCTGCCAAACCATTCAGATCAGTTTATCGTGATTTAACATCCATAAAACCTGTAAAAATCTGTATAATTCAGCAATGTATGTACGTCTTGTAGTAGCAATGTTGTAGAAAATGACGCATATGTTTCCGTCAATTTTGCTTCTGCAAAGCTGATGTTTCTACTGAATTTATTTTGTTTAACTCCGTTTGTTGTTTCCATATTGGGCAATCCTTAGAGGAAGATGAATGTGCTCCAGAACAGTTTGTGCACTTTTTTGTAGTTACTGTCACAATCTTCTGTCACATGCGTCTTCTCACTGCAGTGAGTGCATGTAACAGACAATGGGCAGGACATTCCAGGTATTCATACCGTGGAACTTCTGAGACTTAAAACATCTGAGAGGGTTTGGAATATATGTGTCAACCTTGATATTGCAGTAACCAGCCTTTATAGATTTGGGAGCAATAGAAGATGAAAACGAAAAAAAATAGGTGTTTGTCGGATGGGTTTTGAGTTTTACGAGTGGCAAATCGTTTTACAAAGGTGACACCTTGTTCATTCATTTCTGAGACAATATCAATTTCTGCAATGTCAGAAAACAATCGATCCTGATCTCTCACAATAACTCTGCTGGTATTTAGTGTTCGGTGTGCAGAGACTGTAACGGGAATACCGACAAATGAATCGGTTGACAGAAGATTAGATGCTTGCTGTCTCTTGGTACATTCAGTTAACAGTGCACCTGAGCGTAAGCGTTTCATATTCTTCACATCTCCTTCGATGCCTTGAATGCCCTTACATACTGCAAAGGGATCTAATTTCAGAGGCGTTTTCTCAAGAGTTTCTATCACAATGAAAGGTGACCAGTAGTCGATAGTTTGTGAGGGTCGCTGTTCATCGTCATTCTCAAGTTGACGTTTCGGTTTTTCTGGGGAGTTTCATAAGCCATTTTGAATGTATTATTTTTCATCATCCGAGCTCCCCACCCACCACGGAGTGCCATAAAGACGATGCTACTTACAACACTAAGGATACCCAGATGATATACTCCAGTAGAAAAATTGAGAGATTAAATTTTCCACCAAATTGGCCCATGAGCCACCGCCTTCTGGGCATAAGACTCTAGGCAAATTACAAAATAGAAGGTACATATCTGAAAGTCGTCAATACCAAAATATATTCAAAAGACTTTAACCTCCAATTACCGATGTGTTGTGTAAACTCGTGTAGGCATCACATTTACCCTGTAATACCGGTCACATTTTGATGGTCACCATACAATAAGCAAAACAGAAAGAACAATCTGAATATCACTTTTCACAATGATCATCAACAATTATTATTCACCTTTAACAACTCTCATACCTTGTCACACCCTGATCGTCACCATCCACAAACTTCCATACCGGTTAGCACTGGAATAGCCTGGTGAATAAAGCTTTTCCTCGTCACGCCGAAGACCAGGGCCCGATTCACCACATGGGTACAAATAGTGAAGCTCGTTTCTGGTGTCCCCGCCATGACATTGCTGGAATATTGCTAAAATTCACTCACTCCACTTACTCAATACCGGTCATATACTAATCGTCACCTTTCAAAATATGTAACCCGTGAAGGTCCTGGTTAGAATGAACCTTCAGTAAACCAATGCTTGTCGTAAGAGGTGACTAACGGGATCAGGTGGTCAGGCTCGCTGACTTGGTTGACACATGTCATCGGTTCCCATTTGTGCAGATCGATGCTCATGTTGTTGACCACTGGATTGTCTGGTCCAGACTGGATTATTTACAGACCGCCGCCATATAGCTGGAATATTGCTGAGTGCGGCGTAAAACTGAACTCACTCACTCACTCACTCAAAATATGTAAAGCTGGTCACAACCTGTTGTCTCGTTTCCAGATCTGAAAGACTGGCCAAACCTTATTGTCATCTTTCAAAGACTGCCATACCAGTCACATTCTGATTATCATACTTCAAGAACAATACCATGAGGGTGAAGCTTTTATCATCACGCTTCTCCCTGTGTATTTGCAGCGTGACCGTGATTATTTTCGAATATGTTATCTTTGGTTGTTTTCTTTTTTTAAAAGACCCGTGAAGATCCGGGGTAGAATAGGTCTTCAGCAACCCAAGAGCTTGCCGTAAAAGGCGACTATCTTGTCGTAAGAGGCGACTAACGGGATCGGGTGGTCAGTTTCGCTGACTTGGTTGACACATGTCATCGGTTCCCAATTGCGCAGATCGAGGCTCATGCTGTTGATCACTGGATTGTCTGGTCAGACTCGATTATTTACAGACCGCCGCCATATAGCTGGAATATTGCTGAGTGTGGCGTAAAACTAAACTCACTCACTCACTCTTTTTTTAAAGACAGTTTGGGAACTAACTTTGATATTCAATTTGCAGTCAACACTGACCCTTGTGCTCGTAATCCTTCTGCTAATGGAGGCACATACAGGCCAAGAGGTGGCAGCTACAGACAGTTTGGGAACTAACCTGATGTTTCATTTTTCAGACAACACTGATCCTTGTGCTCGTAATCCTTGTGCTAATGGAGGCAGATGCGAGTCAAAGGGCAGCACCTACAACTGCAACTGTCTTCCTGGTTTCACGGGTCGGAACTGTACAGGTAAGTTTAACACTGGCAGTAATGGAACATCTCGTTTCATTTTCACTCTCACTTTAGCATGTCGGCGTGAGGTAGGAAGATACCCAAAACGATGACTTTTCTCAGTTTGGGACACATATAAGCTGAAAACACAAAAATGAAAATCTGGGGTTAGGAGTTGAAGGATTTGGTACGCTTAAATTACGTTTGTTACGGATTAGAAATTACCGTGACAAAAGTCACCTCTAAACCACCTTGAGTTACCTTTAAACCAGCAAAATTAAGTTCAGACAAGTCTGTGATATTCCATGATATATTGAATAAACAATAAACAAGGTTACAGTGAATGACAGAACGGATTTCCAGGACAATACAACTGTGTCACAGATCTAAAATACTGGGTCACAAATATAAAATATTCGATCACAAATATAAAATATTAACTCACCAAAGTCTTGGTATTTCCGGTAAACAAACAAATGCATGGATTAATGATTGTTGACAGCCGTTGAAAGTTGAATGTAGACGACTTCTTGAAACGTCGATGTCAGACAGACGAGCGTAGATTCAGTGTAGTAGTCTCCATCTCAACAACCACCGCCTATATATAAATTTCTGGAGAAATCCAGCAAAATCTACCCCACAACACAATCATGTAGAAATTACTGGAATGAATCCAACAGTCTTACAACGAGAGCATGATATCAACCAAGAGGAGGTAACTCTAACCCCTCAGTTAACCATACTCAGCGTTATAAACTTTTGTGAGCCATTATAACCAAAAGCTTATTAATGTGACATTTTAATTAACAAAAACACATCCTCATAACCCTTTACTAAAACTGTAGACCCTACAATACCAATGAACCAAATGCTACTGCAAATGAAGCAAATAATGCAGTAACAGAAACGTACGTTGACTAAATGTCATTTCTGATGTTACACGCAATATACTTTTATTAAGAAATATTGAGTTGTATATTTATTTATGAAATAGAACTACTTTGTTTTGTTGAAATGTAAAGAATATACAGTCTATTGGGTCACATAAACCACCGAAAATGTGCGTTACAGTCGAACTACAAAATACGTATTTCTTGAAGGCAGCGCCTCCCTTGGGCATATGCGTGATGGGTTTGACTTGAAACGTATTGACTTGAAACGTATTGAATGTTCTGTAGCACTCCGCTCTGTTGACAACGTCATCAAACGATATACTGACTTTCATCTGGAAATGCACGACAGCTGGCTAGGTACTGTCAATTTGAGCCTGGTTACCTGCAGCTGTCAATACTGGAGGATGAATGTATTGAACGATACAAAATAAGGTCTTGTGGGCAGCCGGCCCAAAGAGTTCATGCTGAAGTAAACAGTCATAATGTTAAACGTATTGCTCAAATGTGTAAAACTGAATTAAGGGTTATCTTCTTTTGTGTAATATTATCGCAATCACTACGTCAAACACTTTAACAAAAAACAATCATAATCACTATCGACACACACACACACACACACACACACACACACACACACACACACACACACACACACACACACACACACACACACACACCTTCATCAACACACATGGAGCAACCTTTAAATTTTGCACGAGTTTTGTTGGGTTTTTTAGTTTTGTTTTGTTTTGTTTTTGCAGATTGCACTCAACAGCCACAAGACATCCTCATCATGGAAGATGTATCTCGCTCCGTCGGCAAAGAGTCCTTTGAAGAAGTGAGACGATTTGAACAAAGTTTGCTAAGTCCTTTCAAAATTAACGTTGATGCTGATAGCGTTGCATATATGGTGTTTTCTGCAAACGCCAGAGTGGTATTCAGTTTGAGTGAATACAGCAACAGTAAGTCAAGCGTTCTGGCAGCTCTCAAGAACGAGGCATACGAGAGCGGGACTGAGACGGACATTGTCGAGGCTATCAATGTGGCTGTTAATTCAGTTTTCACACTGTCAGAAGGCGACCGACCGAATGCTACCAACGTGGTCATCATGTTCACAGATGGGTTCGATACAGAAACGAAAAGGGAGGTTATCGATGACAATATTAGTCGACTGCATGCTAAAGCAGAGGTATTTGTTGTTGCTCTCTCTGATGTGAAGGCCAATTCCACTGTCTACAGCCTTGCTTCAAAACCTGGTAACATCTTCCAGATTGGTTCCAATGCTGGAGTTAGTTCAATCCAGACAAGGCTGAAGAGTTGCTAGAAGATCAATTATGACTAATCAGACATGACATCAATTAGAATATTATTTCGTCTCTAATAAAAGGTCTGCATATTGTCCGTGTGTTTGTTGAAGTCAGTATCGGACATGAGGTCTAAAATTCCCCAATCAAGATCCCGTTAGTCGCCTCTTACCCTACAAGCATGGGTTACTGAAGACTAATTCTAACACAGATCTTCACGTGTATGGGTGTATGAGTGATTCCATATGCTTCATATCAAACGAACAAACAAGACAACCATTATATATACTGAACCGCAAAAACGCCACACCGATAAAAGTCTCTTAAATCCCATGCTTTAATTCCTCTAATTAACAATCAAAACGGAGGACAGGGTTCAAACTTGACAATTATGGTTAAACATTTTCGGCAATCACATTTAGAGTTCACACAAGCAAATTCACCGTATATGGTACATGTACCACTAAGATACCTTAAAGTCAGTATCGTGTGTGGCCTCCATGGTCATTGATGATGGTGTTGCGTCGTCTGTACTTGGAATGAATTAGCCGGTTGATGAAGGCCATAGGCACTTGGGTGAAATGCCTGATCGAGTCCAGCAGTTGTCGGCCTTGGTTGGAAGTCATTCAGTATTCACTGAATCTCGTCCCAAAGGTGTTCTATTGGACTTTAATCCGGACTGAGTGCAGGCCATTGTAGGGTTTGCTCTGGCAGTGTGGGCACGAGCGTTGTCTTGCTGGAAGATGTGATTTCTGTGACGTTCAAAATGTGGTACAACGTGGGTTCTTATGTCTTGGTAAGTTTAGCGAGCAGGTGTCACGTCATTCCTTCGTCCTGGACCGTGATTCTGGAACATCACGGGGCCAACTCTCTGGTTCAGACTGATTGCACCCCGCACCATGATGCTTGGACCACCCCCACGAGTCTCTTTCAACAATACATGCATTGGAAGACCGTTCCCAACGCCTCCGCCATACTCTCACTCTGCCATCGGCTCTCGAAACACAATATCGACTTTCATTACAAATAAACACTGTTGTCCATTGTCGATAACGTCAGTTGCGATGCTGAGTTGCCCATTGCAGTCGGTGTTGGCGGTGAGGACGGGACCACGATATGGTCTCTGACTGAAGAGGTATCTTTTGCGCAAACGTCGACGCACTGTATCGGCACTAATGAGTCTGTTGTGATTCCCATTGGTCTGGCGAGCTGTTTCCGTCGCTCTGGGGAAGCGATCCTGCATATGGTTGCGCACAATTTGTCGGAATTGTGATGTTACTGCAGGTCGTACTCTGCGTGGTCGGTCTTTGATGCTGTTAGTGGTCTGTTACCGTTCCTGTAGTCGGTAGATTATCCTAACATTTACATTAAAATGATTAGCTACCCTCCGTGCAGTCTAGCCAACTTGCAATCGCCCCAAGACTTGGTTCCTCTGATCTCTCGTATGTCGTGGTATGGGGATTGTGTCAACAGAAGAATGATTTCAGGCGAGTTTAAGACTCGCTTTCATTGGAAGGGTCGTCACGATATGCACGTGCATTTTCATTTTCACGAATATCATACGGAAACTTTTACCACGTCTGTCATTTTAGGTACGTTTGGTCAATATGCTTTTTCATCAGAAAACACACTTATGTTTGTAATAACTGTCAATTTGGATTGAAAACATGTTAACAAAATGTGCAATCATAATAAAAACACCACATTATAAGAACAAAATTTTGCATTTCGTTTTGAAAAGTCGCGTTTCTTTTGCGGTGCAGTATATTAATTCTTAGATTAGATGGTAACATGTACAGCATCTTTAGCTTATAACGATGCATTTACATTTGCAAAATCACCTGTGGAAAGTCAGTGGCATAAACGCTACTACTCATGCAATGCGTAATCGTCGACGTGATTCTGTTCGTTCACGGCGGGCAGGCAGTTCCTTGCCAATGGTTGGTTTGTTGTTTAACGCCGCACTCAGCGATGTTCCAGCGATATGGCGGCAGTTAGTTGTCAACCAAGTCAGTGAGCCTGACCACCTGGTCGCCTTTTACGACAAGCATGCGTCACTGAAGATCAATTCTAACCCGAATCTTTACAAGTCTCCTTTCCAATGAACCGACGTCACAGGCAGGCACGTTAGGAAAAGGCAATATCCATCTCCGTGCAGAATTTATTTACCCGACTCAGCATAAACTGAAAAAAAACCCAACCTTATCCTCTTTTGATAACTGATCCTCAATTCACATCTTACTTCACAACTTAAACATACTGCACAAAATCGTTTAAAAGCTATCATGTAAAACAGAAAACGTCATAAATGTCCTTCTTGTGGATTAATTTATGTTGGAGAGACTCAACAGAAGCTATCCACATAAGTTAGCTGGCATAGGTCGAGCATCAACAGAAATGTTTGCAACTGTGTCTTCCAAACTTTTATATTTAACAATTTAAAAATTACTCAATCCTGTGCATGAACATTGGGATCTTAGAATGAAATATGCGACCATTCAAATAGCCTAATGTGGAGCCAACCATACAGAATGTCAACAGTAAATCACTGGATTCAACTGCTATGTACAGCAATGTCATATAGATGAAGTGACAAAGCAGAAAACGTTGGCAGTGTTTCTAACCAAACTACTGCCAAGGCCAGTGTATTGAGTCTGTTTCTGGCATCCCAAAGGAACCAATGGGACTGTATGTTGGGTCGTTATAAGGAATTAAATGATTCTAAATGTAGATCTTGATATTGCTTCAAAACTTCTGCTAAACCAAGAACAGATTCTTCTCAATCGGAAAAGAGCCCGTGTTACATAATTTGAAACTTGTAAACATGGGAATTGAAGCATTAAATCGAAGTTACATTCTGAGACAAAAGTCACTTTCTCAAACTGTACCGAAATATTTCAGATTTTAGGAAGTACCAACAATTTTCATTACCTATGGGAACACAAGTTCATCAACCTCGTTCGATTAGATGACCGTGTTGCAGAACGTATACAATATGGCGTAACAAACTGCTACATTATTCACAAGCTATTCAATATGGACATGATCCGTGAGCAGCATCCCACCAACTGGGATTAAAATATATTATGGATGCTGTCGAAGCATCTACCATAACATGGGCCAACAGAGGGGGAACGTGTAGAAGGTTCAAAGAGGGCCGTTCAAATGTTCAAGTCAGTGCATGATGTTGTTGGTAGAATGCACACACTCAAAAAAGGAGACAGAATTGGAATAAAGCCATTCTGGCTCAAGAACATCTGGCTGCCCTGCATGAAATGATTATAGTTGTTCTCACTGACGGACAGTACGATATCTGCCAAAACAATTCATCGGAATTATCGGCTTTTGGCTTGACTCTGTAACCTGAAGAAAGGTTATGCCCTACTATCGCAAGTGATACAGAGATTTTAGAAATTGTTAGGTACAATCCGTTATTCCCTTTTTACCAAGATTTCAAAGAGCGTCAAATACTCTTGCTGAGAAGTTGTTCCGTCAAGGTTACCTAATTCCGTAAAGCTTCAACACAATTGAGAAATGGGAGGGCATTTCAAAATCTGCTGCACCAATGACAAAACTGATGTCCGATGCAATTTCCTATTTTGACTTGTTCCATAGGTTCGCGATTTTTTAGTTGAACAATTGACTAGCCTTTGCATGTGTTTATGACGCATGCCACCGGCAGGGACGGATACGCTGAACTTTTCGTGAAGGCTTGGGATCATCACTATTTGAAAGTGATTCATAAATACATACTGAGTCGCTTTATATGAATCACAAGATTGCCTGGTCGAGACTAGATTATATAATAATTGCAATATTGATGAACGAGGCGTTAAGCAAGGAAGCAAATACACAAACAAACAGACGCATGCTCAGTAGTGGGAATTGTACAGTAATTGAAAATCAATGGCGTGTGGTATCTGTCCTCAATAAACATGCTAAATTCAAAACGTGGCAGTCGTTCGACACCATACGGTCTCTCACAGGCTTGGTGTTAAACGTGAAAATGCAAAACGACCTCGCCCAATGATTGCTAAGCTACATATGTCTGACGACAAAGTTCATGCCTTGAATACGTGACCCACATTCAAGGAAGAAGGACTTGGAATTCCGAGTGACCTTACTTCACGTCAACGTCAGCAGTTGCAGGCGCTTAAAGGGGACCAACAAGTTTGAGTATTTCAAGGATGGACGGTTGATAACAACGCCTCGCACATTAGAAACAACACCAACTTTGGCGATGTCTGTAACTACAGAAACATCAGGAGACAGACGATCATTACCAAGAAGATCGCTCGGAAAATCATCCGCAAATGTGTCTGCAAGCTAGGGAACTGGCCGAGACCCGGATATTACCCAACAAGCACATAACAAGGTTAACACCGGGGCTACATTAAACGCTGACTGTCCCGGCGAAACATTAGCTTTCCTCTGTTGGAACATTAACTGACTACGAAACAAAATTGTTGACGATGATTATATATCGTACTTAAAACAATTTCAAATAATATGTCTTGTGGAAACTTTTATCGACTGCGGATTTGGCAACGACTGGTTAGTTTCTTTTGACATATATTACACCCCAGCAATAGAGTTATCTGACTACGGCAGGCTTTACGACTGGTTAGTTGATTATGACACATATTACACCCCAGCAATAGAGTTATCTGACTACGGCAGGCTTTACGACTGGTTAGTTTATTTTGACACATATTACACCCCAGCAATAGAGTTATCTGACTACGGCAGGCTTTACGACTGGTTAGTTTATTTTGACACATATTACACCCCAGCAATAGAGTTATCTGACTACGGCAGGCTTTACGACTGGTTAGTTTATTTTGACACATATTACACCCCAGCAATAGAGTTATCTGACTACGGCAGGCTTTACGACTGGTTAGTTTATTTTGACACATATTACACCCCAGCAATAGAGTTATCTGACTACGGCAGGCTTTACGACTGGTTAGTTTATTTTGACACATATTACACCCCAGCAATAGAGTTATCTGACTACGGCAGGCTTTACGACTGGTTAGTTTATTTTGACACATATTACACCCCAGCAATAGAGTTATCTGACTACGGCAGGCTTTACGACTGGTTAGTTTATTTTGACACATATTACACCCCAGCAATAGAGTTATCTGACTACGGCAGGCTTTACGACTGGTTAGTTTATTTTGACACATATTACACCCCAGCAATAGAGTTATCTGACTACGGCAGGCTTTACGACTGGTTAGTTTATTTTGACACATATTACACCCCAGCAATAGAGTTATCTGACTACGGCAGGCTTTACGACTGGTTAGTTTATTTTGACACATATTACACCCCAGCAATAGAGTTATCTGACTACGGCAGGCTTTACGACTGGTTAGTTTATTTTGACACATATTACACCCCAGCAATAGAGTTATCTGACTACGGCAGGCTTTACGACTGGTTAGTTTATTTTGACACATATTACACCCCAGCAATAGAGTTATCTGACTACGGCAGGCTTTACGACTGGTTAGTTTATTTTGACACATATTACACCCCAGCAATAGAGTTATCTGACTACGGCAGGCTTTACGACTGGTTAGTTTATTTTGACACATATTACACCCCAGCAATAGAGTTATCTGACTACGGCAGGCTTTACGACTGGTTAGTTTATTTTGACACATATTACACCCCAGCAATAGAGTTATCTGACTACGGCAGGCTTTACGACTGGTTATTTTATTTTGACACATATTACACCCCAGCAATAGAGTTATCTGACTACGGCAGGCTTTCAGGTGGTGTGTGTGTATGTGTCCATCAATCAGTAAGATGATTGAATCAGAGGTTCATAACCTCCTGGAGATATGAATGCTCGTACAGGTGAACTGAATCATCCTCTCGTCGATTTACAAAACGATGTTGTTTATAGTAGTTGTCTATTTCATGAAGATGAAAACATATCTGTTAGAGATCGGAAATCTCATGATACTATTATTAAAACATTGGCCAGTTGCTGTTAGATATGGTGTATACATTCCAGCTGTTAATTGTCAATGGAGAGTGTATGGAGATACCCTGGGAGATTTACCTATTGTGGAAATCAAGGTGCCAGCGTTAATGATTACATTTTATGTTCATAACATTGATGAAAAGACCCTCACTTAATGCTGAATGTAGAACTGCAAGACTGAACGCCCGCAAGGCACTACGAAGATTTAGAATAACTCGTGCTAGTCTTGACCGAAAGAAATGTTGTGAAAGTAGGAAAAATATAAGAACTGTTGTCGGAAATTCAAAGTTGATTTGCGTAGGCGTACACAAGACAAACTAGTAAATTCTATGAACAACGCTTCATCATTCTGGAAAGAAATACGAACCCTCAAATATGGGTCCCATGATAACATATCAAAACACAGTGGCTGAGTCATGTTTTTTTCAAATGAAACAATATTAGACACGGAAATTGATGACATGCAAAATGATTTTACAGAATGCTATACGGATGTTGATGAATTTGTGCTAGCTTCACTCATTGTCGAAAGCGAAATACTTGGTGCAATAGATCACCTAAAAGGGAAAGCAGCAGGCCCAGATGATATAATTATTGAAATGGTGAAGTATTCCAGGTTTTTCTATGCAAATGCTTTAATAAGCTATTTGAAAAGGGTGACAAACAGTTGGTCATGTTCTATAATAATTCCCCTGCATAAAAAGGTGACCGGAGTGACCTAGACAGCTGCAGGGGTATTTCTTTGATGAGCATTCTAGGGAAAGTCTTTACAACAATACTAAATAATTCTAAATGGGCGAACAGGCGTGATAAAATTCCTGAATTTCAAACTGACTTTAGAAAGAATTATTTCACATCAGATCATATATATACTCTTTATGCACTTATCCAAATGACTTTGTCACGACGAAAGAATAAATTGTTTGTAGCATTTGTAGATTTCAAAAAAAGCTTTTGATTCAGTTGACCGCTCTAAGCTCTATGGACTTGTCTTCGGAAAGCTGGACTACGGGGAAAATGTAACGTATGTTATATTTAGATAACACTTTCTCAGTAAAGTACAGATTCTAGTAATACTTGTTTTGGCATTGTACTAAAATGGCATTGTGTAAATGGGTGTTGGTTCGAATCCCGGATGGTACTCAACCCCCAAAAAGTACTAGACTCTGTATTTTACTAAGAAAGTGTGTATTATGCATTGTGTATTTAAAACGGGGAAAAAATGTGTTTGCTATTATTAAAGCAATATATTGTAATGTGAGCAGGGGTTGAAACAGATTTCTTTGATTGTCCTTTGGGTTTAAGACAAGGCTGTCTTCTTAGTCCTGTGCTATTTTCACTTTTCATTATTGAATTATATATTGAAATAGCTTCAAATGGTTAATATGGTATCCAAATGTTTCCTGACCTAATAGAAGTTTTGATGTTACTTTTGCAGACGATGTCATTTTAGTGTCAGATACTGTAGTTTGTCTCCAAACTTCTAAATGCATACACAACAGAATGGAAATTATCAGTGAATCTAGATAAAACAAAAGTTGTGATCTTTAGGAAAGGTGGTCCAATAAAGTTGAAAGAAAGATGGTTATTTGATGGCCAGTTAGTCAATGTAGTGGATCATTATTCATATTTAGGAATCTGGTTTTCTAACAAAATGAACTTGAAAAAATGTACCAAAGATTTATCATGGCGTGCAAAGAAAGCTTTCATAAGTGTAATGTCTGTTGTCCACAAAGTTGGAACCATGTCACCTAGTATATTCTTTAAGGTCTTTGATACCCAGATACAACCAATTTTATCATATGGCTCGGAAGTATAAGAATTTCAGTGGTATGAATGTTTGAAGAAGGTACACTTATCAGCATGTAAACAAGTTTTTGTGTTGGATCCTCTGCACCAAATTGTATGGTATATGGTGAATGTGGTAGATACCTATTATATGTTAATTCCCAAATTAGATGTTAAAATACTGTTTCAAACTTCATCATATGGAAGAAACAACGTCTCCCCAAAATAGCTTATAACATGTTTTCACATTTAGATAACAAGGGGAAAATTACATGGGCATCGCATATAAGGAATCTTCTATTTTCCCATGGTTATGGATTTATATGGTTATGTCAGTCAGTTGGAAGTGCAGACATGTTTCTTAAAGAATTTAGAACTCGGTCTGTTAATATGTTTTACCAGGAATGGCATTCCACTTCTGAAGATAGTTCACGATATGCTTATTACAGAAACCTTCAAGACCTTACTTCAGCCAAATTTACTTATCGATAATCACGACGGCAAAAATGTAAGGAACATTTTATTAAATATCGGCTGGGTTTGTTAGACCTTTTTGTAAATGAAGGACGAAAACTTTCCATTGCAAAATCGAAAGGAATCTGTCAGTTATGCGATATAGAAATAGAAATGAAATTCACTTTGCGTTCGTCTGTCCATTTTATAGTCACCTTCGAAAGAAATATATTAAAGACTATTTGGTAGGGATGCCGCCATTTAAAGCTTTCGTATATATCTTAACGAATAAGAATGAATCCCATTTATTAAACCTTTCACTATATATCAAACATGCACTGTTTAAAGAACGTGTTACTCCCTGTGTGTAACAGTATGATATGTACATGCTCTCTTGTATATCGGTCGGAGGCCTTTTGTACAATAAACCTTTTGACTTTGACAGCAATTGTTGTTAGGAGAGATTTGTTACAGATGTGGAAAGGGTTTTGTTGCTCGATACTGTGGCTGGACTTCATAGATCGTCTGTGATATCCCTGCCACTGTGACAAAATGTATCCATAATCATTCATGAATTACTTATTCTAATCACTATATGGCTGAAATATCATAACTCGTTTCCATCAGACAATGATTCCAATAATAATCACTTATAATAATAATGCGCACTGCATGGCATCATAGATAAGTTAAACACGTGCAATGCTGGCGTTGCTAAATGAGTGTTCCTTCTGGGCATCATTTACACATCGTTCAAATTCAAAACTTGTAAACTGTACAAAGGTGACGATTTCTTCCAGTTTACTGTTAATAGAGAGCAGCCCAAAGTAACACGAATCGTAGACGTGTACCATTTTGTTGAAACATGTGTTGGATGTTTAACCCTGCACTAAGCAATATTCCAATTGTATGTCGGCGGTGTGAAATTATAATGTCTGGACCAGTTAATCCAATGAATTACATCATGAGCATCGATCCACGCAATTATGAGAGCCTGGCCACCCACCCTAAATACAATAAAATGGACCAAAAGAGAAGAGGATTCTGTTGGCTGTCTGTCAGAGTAGGTTAAGTCATTGTTCGATGTTGCCATTGCTTCAATGCACAGACTGCAAAGGAGGAAAAGAAGTGGAAGAAACCCATTCTGTTCCAGCCACCTGTTTACAAAAGTCTGGCTGCCCTTCATGAACAGTTTGTAGGTGTTCCCACTGACAATGCTTCAAATAACACAAGCATTGTATGAAAACATCACTACTGGAATTGTTCAATTAAAGAGCACAGTACAGGCACACGTGCAGGGTGAGTATGGTAACTGAGGAAGAAATCTGCACAAACCATTTGTCAGTACTCTCAGAAATGACATCATAAAAGAAACATATTCTCTTGTGAAGTTTAACTTACTTAACATTGTTGTTTGCGATTTATCATATTGTTAAAGATCAGTCACATCACTTCGTGTCAGTTCTATGTTTAAACAACCAAAGTACCCATACTGTAGGCGTTCACCTCACGGGTAGGAACTGAAGAACTAATGAATTTAATACTCGAACCTTATCAGCGGATCATTGCACTCCAAGTGACGTAACACTAGAGACCGGAAAAATGCAAAGGCGTTGTAATGGAGACATGGTGTTTTAAACTGTATACATATGCAGATTAATACAGTACGAGAAAAACTGTGTTTCGGAATGTTAAACTTCCAGATTAAATTTACGTATTCATGCATGTGTTCAAACTATACATTCAAAGTTTGTAAGCAAACAAAAAACAGTGGCCTGTAAATATAATCTAGTCTGGGGTAGATATAATCTTTATACTCCATGCTGATACTGACCATACAGTCAACACTAGGTCAGATATTACAACACCTATGATATAATGGGGACCTATTGTTCCCTCAAATGGAGACACTGTCCTTGAAATTGGTCCGTTAAACTTTTAATATTTAAGAATGTTTGATTAAACCATTGCCTCCATGAACTGGTTCATTGACAACATTCGTATCAACATTGACGTTGATCTGGGATCCAAGCGAAGTGACCTGAACGGTGATGGCCTTTCGTAGTGAAACCCTTTTCTGGCTGGGTTTGTACCTACGTTTCCAGTTAAAGCCCGAAGGAGCTCTAACAGTTTACTGGTAGATGCAGGGAACGGATCTTGTAGTCCGTTAAGAGTTACGGGTATTGGCAGTCCGTTGACATTGACAGGTGGTGTGAGGAAATGGTGGGGAAACGTTGATTGTAACGGGTTGGAAGGTAACGGTATTCTTGGTCCGTTGACATTGATAGGTGGTGTTATAGAAAGGTGGGGAAACGTTGATTGTAACGGGTTGGAAGGTAACGGTATTCTTGGTCCGTTGACATTGATAGGCGGTGTGAAAGAAAGTTGGGGAATCGTTGATTGTAACGGGTTGGAAGGTAACGGTATTCTTGGTCCGTTGACATTGATAGGTGCTGTGATAGAAAGTTGGGGAATCGTTGATTGTAACGGGTTGGAAGGTAACGGTATTCTTGGTCCGTTGACATTGATAGGTGGTGTGATAGAAAGGTGGGGAAACGTTGATTGTAACGGGTTTGGCGGTAAGGGTAAGGGCATTGGTGCTCCGTTTACACTGAGAGATGGTCTGATGGACAGTTGGGGAAACGTTGATTGTAACTGGATAGGAGGTAACGGTATTGGTGGTCCGTTGACATTGACGGGTGGGGCGATGGAAAGATTGGCAATTGTTGATGGTATGGGGTTGGGAGGTAAGGGTGTTGGTGGCCCATTAATGGCAAATGGAAATTGTGGTTTATTGAAGACTTCAGATGGTGTTCTGTGTGGTGCCGATTCCTGTCGAACAAAGCCAGAAGGGATTAGCAGCGGTGGAAGCTGTGTCTGGGTGGTTGCTTGCTGGCCTGTATGCAGGGTATGAGGGAACGATGATGTGCTCTGCCCGTCACCTTCGGGGTTTAGTGGGAGTCTGTTGGGCGTTGATGCAGATGGAGACGTGGAGCGGCCAGTTTCATTTCCTGAAGGAAACACAGTAAATTACATTTTAAGACAAATGAAGAATAAAAATATAGAATACAGATATGTTGTAATGAACTCAAAGTATCACTATTTTAATTCGTTGCAACCGTGGTACGTTATATGCATTTCGACAAGCTCAAGATGTTTCATTGTACACAAGGCCTCCGGCCCGTATACATAGTGTTATAGTGACAGGCAAGTTATGGACATTGCAAATAGTGGAAAGCATCATGACATTGTGAAATTAGTTGACAGGAGATATCAGACTCTTCCTTAACGACGGCAAATGTGTTAAAACAGGGCTAATTTTACATGGACATATTCGTCTTCTGATGATAACATTCTTATTAGTGTTTCCCTTGTAGGGTGACCCAAATGTTTGTAGGGTGACTCAAATGTTTGTAGGGTGACCCAAATGTTTGTAGGGTGACTCAAATATATCTCAAGTGGCCGGGACCAATAGATAGTTCGAAACAACCGTCAATTCGTCATACGCGTGTTCGTTAAAAGCATAGTCTTTAGAGAACGAATGACAACCTGACAGAAATCCTAAAATGGATTTACCTATGATTCATTTTGTCAACGTAAATGAAACAATTCATTCATTCCTTATTGATATGAACTATAGATTTCTTGGGTATATATCAGGATGGGACATCTAAAGAAATTCGTGATATTTTTTTCATTTTTTATGAAAAGCAATTTGGAAAGCCATGCTTACCTGTACCAGCTACTGAAACACAGATAGTGTTGTTGTCAGGATGGTTCCTGTACCCAACTTGACAGTGGCACACTTCTTGCTGACTCTGCAGTTTCGCACACTGTCCATTCTCACATCGTAACGTGCAATCATCTATGTAAAACAAAATCAAAGGCATTAACCGTATACCCTCTGCGAAAAGCATTAAGATACAGGGTTGTTTGACTTCCTCTTCTACAACCACAACCTTCATTTAAGTAGAGTTCAAGGAAGACATTGATGCCCTCCGCAATCTTTGACAGAACAATAGACACATTACACACCATGAGTTAAACCCACACACCTTTCGTATGGGGGCGGTGGGGTAGTCTAGTGGTTAAAGCGTTAGCTCGTCACGCTGAAAACCCGGGTTCGATTCCCCACTAATGGGTACAATGAGTGAAGACATTTCTGGTGTCCCCGCCGTGATATTGCTGGAATATTGCTAAAGGATGTGTAAAACCAAACTCACTCACTCACTTTCGTATGGTCAGTATAAACAATACCTCATGAATATCTATTATGTAAACGGTTTGTGTTCGATGGGATATAAGTATTGAGTGAGTGAGTTTAGTTTCACACCGCATTTTGCAATATTCCAGCTGTAAATAATTGAGTCTGGACCAGACAATCCAGTGATCAACAGCATAAACATTGTATCAGTTGGGTTACAGTGACATGTGTCAACCAAGTCTGACCACCCGATCCTGTTAGTCGCATATTACGACAAGCATGGGTTAATTCTAACCCGTATCTCCACGGGTGAGAATGCTGGTTAATGAATGCCATGTTAACCAAATATGATTGCAACGCATAAGATTTTCATTTTAGGCTGGGATATGTATTAATTCAAAGGAAAAAGATAAAAAGTCCACTATGATTATTCTGGGTACGATTCTCACCCACGTTTGATCCGGCAGCTGACGGACGCAGTCGTGATATATATGTTGCAGTGAGTGAATGAGTGTGGTTTTACGCCGCTTTTAGGAACATTCCACAAATGTCACGGCAAGGGACACGAAAAATGTACTTCACTCATTGTACCAATTTGGGGAATCGAACCGGGGACTTCGGCGTGATAAGTACTAGGCTAACCCCGTTCGCCCTAGTGATTTAACGGACAATGCTGAGACACTAACTGCAGTACTTACTTGAGACAGCACATCCACCTTGCACATTCTTCTCGAAGCCAGGTTTACAGACACACTCCTGTGTGTTCGGGTCACAGTCGCCATTAACACATGTTTCCGGAACACAGGTAGCTGCAGGCATAGAACAGTCAAGGTCAATATTGAAACCAAAACATGTATTTAATGTTTATCTACAAACGCAGATTGGATCCACAATCAAAGGTTTCTTTGTGCGTGTTATGGACGAAACTCTGGATATTGAGTCGTAGCGCCTCACACAACTGGGCCAATCATAAGCCAAGGACGTGCAGTTCCTTTAGAGGAAACATACACAAGAAAACAAGGTTTCTTTGCGTTGCAAGCGATAGTCAGGTCATACACAGAGGCCATCGGCACATTCATTAGGGAAATGTCTTTTCTATATCAAATAACTCATTTACTGTATACACATGAGAGACCTTATTTTGGATTATTAATATGTAAGTATTTACACCCTGCCATTTATCGATGTCAAGGACGCTTTAAAACTTTTCAGTTACATAACAACGTCTTGGCTTTATTTGGAGGCACGTCCGGCTAGTGTAACACTTTGGTGAAATCTGAGAGCACTGGTATGGTTCTGTGAATACTAGAAACATGATCGGGCCGAACCAAAAAATTGTTGCCCAAGGACCGCAACTCGGCACATCGAATTCTGACTTCATGGACGACTGGGCCACCCGTGTTCCCCTATTTTGTTAGCATTCTATAGAATTCAGCAATTTCAGCAATTAAGACAGTTGGGGAAGATTATATGAGATCTCACCAATGGCCAGACAAACGCCGTTTGGTCCTTTGAAATACCCAGATTTGCAGAAACACTGTCCTGACCGTGAGCAGAAACCGTTTGGGCAAGAATCCACTGCACACCGTACTGTGGAGGAACGCTTCATCATAATAAGAACACAAAAACAGTTTGCTTTAATGAATACAGGTCTCATAGTAGTGAAGGGCCGAGGTTTAAACTTGGGCACTACCGACGAGAGGAGGAAATACGGTATTCAACATCTGTAATACCGCTCTGTATTCATGGGAGATATTGAAATTATAATGATCCACACAAACCATTATTCACTGTTATTAGATCTTAACCATTTGAGCAAATGTCTGTAGAGACAGAATGTGCTGTCCTTCTGAAGATCGTTTGATGTGTTCCACTGATACTCTCATATTGCAGATTATATGATAAGCATGTGTTTATGAATCACAATCAGCATGATAGGGCCAGGTGTTTGTAAAATGGGGATCGTATCCCCGTTACAAACACAAGCAAATGCATGCCAAGTGTTCACCAAAAATACGACGTATTGTCTAAGTCTAAGTCATTTAGCCCCTAAAGCGTAAATCTGGAAATGACTCAATATATCTACCATAAAACCTTTTAAAGCTTGCCGAGGAATTGGGACTTGTAGACATAGTTGGGGTCCTTGGTATATCCACCTTGACAGGTGCAAACAAGAGTTATTTGGGGAGCAAATGCCATATCGACATTGATCTTGAGTACAGCGCAGTGTCATAAAGACACTCGCTGGCATAGTAACTCATGGTGTCAATAACTGGATTGTCTGGTCCAGACAGGGTTGTCTACTGACCGTTTCGTCCAGCTGCACTGCTGTTCAAGAAACACACACTCATGATATAGTCACAATTGTACAATCGTCTCTGCTTGGATGTGGAATGGGTTTTGATGTTTCTGTTTAGATAATACTTTCCAAAATGGGTTACCCAACGGGAGGGGGGGGGGGGGGTGGGGGTGTGTCCCATTTGTGTGTTCAAAACATAACAACTCATAAAGTACACAAAATATAGCGTATTGCGTGTTTAAAACGAACTTTTCCGGAATAGAAAGCAGTTAAACAAAAGAATAGCGTATCGTTTTGTGGCAGGTACAAGCTACAGTTCTCTCTGCAATGTATTTCAGGTACAATTACAGTTTCATATGATATAGTGACCGTTTGATGCTGAGATCAGTTTAAGCAGTGGTTGTTGAGGAGCGTATTTATTATTATTCCTATGTCCATGTAAATTCAGTTATAACGTCAATACAGAGTATTAAGTTGAGTTGTGGCTAATACATTACGGATTAGGTAGAGTTATATACAGTTTATACAAAGTAAATTCAGTTATAACGTCAATACAGAGTATTAAGTTGAGTTGTGGATAATACATTACGGATTAGGTAGAGTAAGATACGGTTTATACAAAGTAAACTCAGTTATAAAGTCAATACAGAGTATTAAGTTGAGTTGTGGCTAATACATTACGGATTAGGTAGAGTTATATACAGTTTATACAATGTAAATTCAGTTATAACGTCAATACAGAGTATTAAGTTGAGTTGTGGCTAATACATTACGGATTAGGTAGAGTAAGATACGGTTTATACAAAGTAAACTCAGTTATAAAGTCAATACAGAGTATTAAGTTGAGTTGTGGCTAATACATTACGGATTAGGTAGAGTTATATACAGTTTATACAATGTAAATTCAGTTATAACGTCAATACAGAGTATTAAGTTGAGTTGTGGCTAATACATTACGGATTAGGTAGAGTTATATACAGTTTATACAAAGTAAATTCAGTTATAACGTCAATACAGAGTATTAAGTTGAGTTGTGGCTAATACATTACGGATTAGGTAGAGTAAGATACGGTTTATACAAAGTAAACTCAGTTATAACGTCAATACAGAGTATTAAGTTGAGTTGTGGCTAATACATTACGGATTAGGTAGAGTTATATACAGTTTATACAATGTAAATTCAGTTATAACGTCAATACAGAGTATTAAGTTGAGTTGTGGCTAATACATTTACGGATTAGGTAGAGTTATATACAGTTTATACAAAGTAAATTCCAGTTATAACGTCAATACAGAGTATTAAGTTGAGTTGTGGCTAATACATTACGGATTAGGTAGAGTTATATACAGTTTATACAAAGTAAATTCAGTTATAACGTCATTACAGAGTATTAAGTTGAGTTGTGGCTAATACATTACGGATTAGGTAGAGTAAGATACGGTTTATACAAAGTAAACTCATGTATAACGTCAACACAGAGTATTAAGTTGAGTTACTTCTGTGGTTATTACATTACGGATTAGGTAGAGTTATATACAGTTTATACAATGTAAATTCAGTAATAACGTCAATACAGAGTATTAAGTTGAGTTGTGGCTAATACATTACGGATTAGGTAGAGTAAGATACGGTTTATACAAAGTAAACTCATTTATAACGTCAACACAGAGTATTAAGTTGAGTTACTTCTGTGGTTATTACATTACGGATTAGGTAGAGTTATATACAGTTTATACAATGTAAATTCAGTTATAACGTCAATACAGAGTATTAAGTTGAGTTGTGGCTAATACATTACGGATTAGGTAGAGTTATATACAGTTTATACAATGTAAATTCAGTTATAACGTCAATACAGAATATTAAGTTGAGTTGTGGCTAATACATTACGGATTAGGTAGAGTTATATACAGTTTATACAATGTAAATTCAGTTATAACGTCAATACAGAGTATTAAGTTGAGTTGTGGCTAATACATTACGGATTAGGTAGAGTTAGATACGGTTTATACAATGTAAACTCAGTTATAACGTCAATACAGAGTGTTAAGTTGAGTTACATCTGTGGTTATTACATTACGGATTAACTAGAGTTATATACGGTTTATACAATGTAAATTCAGTTTTGTAATGTCACCAAGAAGTATATCAGCTGTAAGTATATATTACCAATATAATGTGTGTTAAGTGAAGTTTACCAAAGGGAACACAGATGCCGTTAGGATCCATCGTGAAACCTTGATGGCACCTGCAGCCGGTGTTGTCGTTGCAGTATCCGTTCACACATGATTGGTCCGTGCAGGAGGCTGCAAACAGAGAGCAACGCTCAAAGGCTTAGCGAGAAAAAATTGGTCCTGACACTTCAGGTATTACCTTAGCGGCAAATGGATCTCCACACATTCACACAAGTTGGAAGTTAGTTAAACGTTCGGGATTTGTGTGCGCTTCAAACCACTATGTTTCTATTTACATATACTTTAGGCAACCAAAATCTCCGACCACTATGTTCTACTTACACAGTAGGACAACCAATATCTCCAACCACTATGTTCTACTTGGCACAGTAGAACAACCAACATCTCCAACCACTATGTTCTACTTACATCAATTACACTTAAGACAACCAACATATCCAAAAACTATGTCTACTAACATATACATTAAACAAACACCATCTCAATTGCTATGTTCTACTTACACAGTAGAACAACCAACATCTCCAACCACAATGTTCTATTTACACAGAAGAACAGCCAACATATCCAACCACTACGTTCTACTTACACAGAAGAACAGCCAACATATCCAACCTCTAAGTTCTACTTTTACACACTAGAACAACCAACATCTCCAACCACTGTGTTCTACTTACACACTAGAACAACCAACATCTCCAACCACTGTGTTCTACTTACACAGAATAACAACCAACATAAAACCACAATGTTCTACTTTACACAGAATAACAACCAACATCTCCAACCACAATGTTCTACTTACACACTATAACAACTGACATCTCCAACCACAATGTTCTACTTACACACTAGGAACAACCAACTTCTCCAACCACTGTGTTCTACTTACACAGTAGGACAACCAACATCTCCAACCACTATGTTCTACTTACACACTAGAACAACTGACATCTCCAACCACAATGTTCTACTTACACACTAGAACAACTGACATCTCCAAACCACTATGTTCTACTTACACAGAATAACAACCAACATCTCCAACCACTGTGTTCTACTTACACACTAGAACAACCAACATCTCCAACCACTATGTTCTACTTACACACTAGAACAACCAACATCTCCCAGCCACAATGTTCTACTTACACACTAGAACAACCAACTTCTCAAACCACTGTGTTCTACTTACACACTATAACAACTGACATCTCCAACCACAATGTTCTGCTTACACACTAGAACAACTGACATCTCCAACCACTATGTTCTACTTACACAGAAGAACAAACAACATCTCCAACTACTATGTTCTACTTACAAAGTGGGACAACCCACATCTCCAACCACTATGTTCTACTTACACAGTAGGACAACCAACATCTCCAACCACTATGTTCTACTTACACAGAATAACAACCAACATATCCAACCACAATGTTCTACTTACACAGAATAACAACCAACATATCCAACCACAATGTTCTACTTACACAGAATAACAACCAACATATCCAACCACAATGTTCTACTTACACAGAATAACAACCAACATCTCCAACCACAATGTTCTACTTACACACTATAACAACTGACATCTCCAACCACAATGTTCTACTTACACACTAGAACAACCAACTTCCAACCACTATGTTCTACTTACACAGTAGGACAACCAACATCTCCAACCACTATGTTCTACTTACACACACTAGAACAACTGACATCTCCAACCACAATGTTCTACTTACACACACTAGAACAACTGACATCTCCAACCACTATGTTCTACTTACACAGAATAACAACCAACATCTCCAACCACTGTGTTCTACTTACACACTAGAACAACCAACATCTCCAACCACTATGTTCTACTTACACACTAGAACAACCAACATCTCCAGCCACAATGTTCTACTTTACACACTAGAACAACCAACTTCTCAAACCACTGTGTTCTACTTACACACTATAACAACTGACATCTCCAACCACAATGTTCTGCTTACACACTAGAACAACTGACATCTCCAACCACTATGTTCTACTTACACAGAAGAACAACTAACATCTCCAACTACTATGTTCTACTTACAAAGTGGGACAACCCACATCTCCAACCACTATGTTCTACTTACACAGTAGGACAACCAACATCTCCAACCACTGTGTTCTACTTACACAGAATAACAACCAACATATCCAACCACAATGTTCTACTTACACAGAATAACAACCAACATATCCAACCACTATGTTCTACTTACACAGAATACCAACCAACATCTCCAACCACTGTGTTCTACTTACACACTAGAACAACCAACATCTCCAACCACAATGTTCTACTTACACAGAATAACAACCAACATATCCAACCACAATGTTCTACTTACACAGAATAACAACCAACATCTCCAACCACAATGTTCTACTTACACACTATAACAACTGACATCTCCAACCACAATGTTCTACTTACACACTAGAACAACCAACTTCTCCAACCACTATGTTCTACTTACACAGTAGGACAACCAACATCTCCAACCACAATGTTCTACTTACACACTAGAACAACTGACATCTCCAACCACAATGTTCTACTTACACACTAGAACAACTGACATCTCCAACCACTATGTTCTACTTACACAGAATAACAACCAACATCTCCAACCACTGTGTTCTACTTGCACACTAGAACAACCAACATCTCCAACCACTATGTTCTACTTACACACTAGAACAACCAACATCTCCAGCCACAATGTTCTACTTACACACTAGAACAACCAACTTCTCAAACCACTGTGTTCTACTTACACACTATAACAACTGACATCTCCAACCACAATGTTCTGCTTTACACACTAGAACAACTGACATCTCCAACCACTACGTTCTACTTACACAGAAGAACAACCAACATCTCCAACTACTATGTTCTAGTTACAAAGTGGGACAACCCACATCTCCAACCACTATGTTCTACTTACACAGTAGGACAACCAACATCTCCAACCACTGTGTTCTACTTTACACAGAATAACAACCAACATATCCAACCACAATGTTTCTACTTACACAGAATAACAACCAACATATCCAACCACAATGTTCTACTCTTACACAGAATAACAACCAACATCTCCAACCACTGTGTTCTACTTACACACTAGAACAACCATCATCTCCAACCACAATGTTCTACTTACACAGTAGGACAACCAACATCTCCAACCACTATGTTCTACTTACACACTAGAACAACTGACATCTCCAACCACAATGTTCTACTTACACACTAGAACAACCAACATCTCCAGCCACAATGTTCTACTTACACACTAGAACAACCAACTTCTCAAACCACTGTGTTCTACTTACACACTATAACAACTGACATCTCCAACCACAATGTTCTGCTTACACACTAGAACAACTGACATCTCCAACCACTACGTTCTGCTTACACACAGAAGAACAACCAACATCTCCAACTACTATGTTCTAGTTACAAAGTGGGACAACCCACATCTCCAACCACTATGTTCTACTTACACAGTAGGACAACCAACATCTCCAACCACTGTGTTCTACTTACACAGAATAACAACCAACATATCCAACCACAATGTTCTACTTACACAGAATAACAACCAACATATCCAACCACAATGTTCTACTTACACAGAATAACAAACCAACATCTCCAACCACTGTGTTCTACTTACACACTAGAACAACCATCATCTCCAACCACAATGTTCTACTTACACAGTAGGACAACCAACATCTCCAACCACTATGTTCTACTTACACAGTAGGACAACCAACATCTCCAACCACTGTGTTTCTACTTACACAGGAGAACAACCAACATCTCCAACCACTATGTTCTACTTACACAGTAGGACAAACCAACATCTCCAACCACTATGTTCTACTTACACAGTAGGACGACATTTAACAACCAGCATACTCCTCTACAATTTGCGTTCTACAAACATTCACTGAAGACAACAAAATACTCTTCATCCTCTGTTCTGCATACTATTCAAGAAGTAACGACATGCGCTTCAAACAATATTTTCTTCTTGAAAACCCTTAAAACAGCTTCTTCTACCATTATGTCTAGCGTATATATTATACATGAGAAACCAACAGGCGTTTTAAACGTTGTGTTCTGCATACAACACCTAGACATTCAACATACGTTTCAACAAATACATCTTCATACACATGCGGGGCGGTGGGGTAGCCTAGTGGTTAAAGCGTTCGCTCGTCACGCAGAAGCCCTGGGCTCGATTCCCCACATGAGTACAATATATGAAGCCTATTTCTGGTGTTCCCCGAGTTGATGTTGCTGGAATATTGCTAAAAGCGACGTTAAACCGAACTCACACACTCACATACATATGCATACATTACGTTTTCGTGAGAGGTCATATTTGTCAAAAGAATGAATACGAGTGTGTGTGAATTTATGTTTATAACAGCAAGCGTTAAGTACATGAGTCATAATGAAAGAATGACAATAACGCAGAGTACCTACCATTTGCAGCCACGGCCATAGACAGTGTCAAGCCCAGCAACATCTTCCATCCCATTACTTGAAAGCGCTGAGGCCTGAAATGTCATACATGACAACTACTTGCATGTCCAAAGCACAGCCGTCACGTTTTAGCAAGTTCGCTACAGATACACCTGTTGTTTGTACATGGGTATCCATCTTGGATTGAAGACACTGTACATAAAACAATACATCTCCTTGAGGGATCTTGAAGACAAATTGTTTTTGTCACATTTTAGAATCTGATTATTACTGAAGGAAGAAAATATGGGAACGTTACAGTCTTTCATATCTGGTTTGATTATTAATATTTATGAAGAAACAACAAACGTGTTCAGTGTTTCAGATTAGGTATAATTGTAATTGTTCCATTTGTTAAACTTTTCAGAGTTAAGAGATACGTAATTCCAGATGTGGTTGAATGTTAAATGCTCATATGATAAATATAAGTTTCAAATTCAAATTTTGGTATTAATGGAATCTTCTAATTTCCACACAATCTTCTGATCACCTCACACAAGGATCTTACAATGATAAGCAGATATTTTCATTTATCTTGCCTCACGCATAAATGTCGTTTTCTAATTGGCGGAGCACTCTTCTATTATTTTCAATGTACCCCGCTTACAAGCGAGAAACATTTTCTATGTACCCTCTGGAAATGCCGAACTCATTTGGTACTTCGTAGTGGTAATTCTTTATCTCGAATAACATTGAATCACGTATGTTGTACGGAAATTACCGATATTTTGCGAATGCAAATCGATGGAAGTGAGATCACTCTAAATTTGTTTTTCTTGTCGTCTGGTACTTTACTACAATCCGATACCCGTGCTCCAAACAGTTCAAAATTACCATTGAGGTGTTTGGTAAGATAAATACGTTGTTCACTGGTCCCTCGGAGCACATGGGTTGATGTACCCTCGATGTTCCTTTATGTTCGGGCTCAGGGAACATAAACAAACATCGAGGGTACATCAGCCCATGTCCCCTCGAGACAAGTGAACAACGTATATTGTCTTGCCTACATTCTACATTAATCAGTATTTTGAATGAGCATATATCCCAGTTGAGTGGGTCGCTGTGCATATTGTTGATCACTGGATTGTCTGGTCCTGATTCGAATAGTTTAAAACCGCCGCTATATACTATGTAGTTGGACTTTTGCTGAGTGCGGCCTAAAACAACACAGAAACAAACAGCATATCACCAATTGTCATTTTACCACGTCTCGAGTATAGGCCTCGATGATTCAACATTACACCATTTACCTCGAAAGCTTTCGAACTCGTGTTTGCTTAAATTCATTCATGCCGTACACGGGGATACGGGATACAGGGATCAGACGTCGCAGTTTGCTGTGAAGAGCTGTCTCCGTTGTCCGCTAAATCCATGTTCACTTGGTGATTCAGTGAAAGTGGTAAACGTGAAATACATGCATTTTCCCCAAACCTACACGACACGCCGTGAAGGGGCGGCGTGAGTGTGGGAGATGAAGCATTATTACTTTTGTGAGCATTTTGGGGACAGTTTATCCATTTTGATCATTTCAGATAAAGTACCATAGAGTGAGAGAGTGAGAATGGTTTTACGCCGCTTTTAGTAATATTCCAGCAATATCACGGCGTGGGACACCAGAAATGAGCTTCACACAATGTACCCATGTGGGAATCGAACCCGGTCTTCAGCGTGGCGAGCGAACGTTTTAACCACTAGGCTACCCCACCGCCCCAGAATGGACGGAAGTACACTGTAAAAATGACTGTTTATGTATTAAATGCAAAATTAGTTTGAGTACCATCTTTTTGGTCAAGTTTTACCCATATTGCTGTAAATATACCTGTTAAAAGCAAAGGTTTGCAATGGTGGAGCTATGTGTACTGTCTGATATGCTATGGCTGATAGCACTAGGTAGATATAATATAAGTACAGAGATGCATTGTAAACACCATGTTTATTTCGTCTTAGCAATACATGAATATTACCAATACTGTGACATAGCTGTAGAACACAGCCTCCTCTATTCACAGTGAATGTAAACTGTGGTTGTAGCAATATGCTACACACTCTGTATAGCCAGAACTATAAAAAACACTGTATGATAAGGGATTCACAAAGTGTCAAAGTCCTTTCGTTAGCCCACTGAAAGTGACACGATGTGAGCAAACTGCACACTCTAAATGAATTACTGTTCAGAAAACAGTCCACCAAAACTCAATCTCTGACCGAGGCCACGATCCTGTTGTGAACAGCTGAAACTGTTACAAAATGAATAGCTAGAACTATTGACATATATAATATTCAACAATCAATATAACACTAATCGTCTGTCAGAAAATAGAAAGTCTAATTTCTCAGTCACTGAATGACATGGTATTCATATGCAGACTTGAACACTTCTTGTACAGCCTTGTCCAGGCCTACTTCGTCAGGTGAAAACCCTGAAAAAAATAAAATCCCAATGAGACCGAATTGTATAGTGTAAATTGTAAAAAATAATAAGTAACAAAGACATGTTTTCATTACTGTGACCCTTAAATATGAGAGAACATGGGTACCCTTCGTGTCTAAAAGTGCCTTAATTTGAAACGTTTTGTCCCAGGAACTACAGAAACCGCACGCTTACTGGATGGGCATAACGATGGGGCATAACAATGAGCTATTATATTAATCTTACTTATGTTGATATGGAACCTGTTAGTCTACCATTTCCTCTGTCGGATCCAGTTTCTTTTTCCGTGCACATAAAGGATGAAATATCTGCATCAAGTCCCTGTGACTTTAGGGTATTCAACTTTACACAAGAGGCTAACCACACCACACGATAACATTCACTGCCACGTTGTACCATTACCCATCAGAAAGGTAGCATAACTAGAATGTTGCGATCCGAAAATCACAGACACAAAGACAGATTTTCCTTGTACTATCAGGTTCATTATTACTTTTACCTTTGAGAGATGCTACTATCATACTACTTTATGAGTAGATGTCAAACAAACAGTCAATGGCCATTAATTTCCGTGATATCATACTTCACATTCCACACTTTCCGATACATTTGACATACCTCCTTTTCTTGCGTCTCCTTTCTTCAGCGACCTGGTGATGTCAAACAAACAGTCAATGTTTCTCCTGGGCACTGGTCCGTAGATCTTTGCCTTATGAGCTTTTAACTCTTCACCAGGAACACTTCCGAGATTCTATTCCGCCTCAAAAGGGGTATTATGAGCCATTTCACCAGACGTCTGGATGGCGAAACAAAATACCCAGAGTTCCTTGGCTATTTTCAAACGCCGTATGTATAGACAGCGAAGGGTAGTTCTAACCACCTGTGTTTAGTATATGCATATTTTATGTTAATATTTAACTTAAAGGGCTATATACGTCCTTAATCAGTAAGTCATTAGAAGTCTTTATTACTTTGAGATATTGTACTCATGCCAATAATGGTTGTCATCCCCTGCCCACCCCATATACACACACCTCACACACCTCACCCCACACCCTCCAATTAAAAAATTGAAAGGGGATGACAACCATTATTGGCATGAGTATAGCAAAACTCCGCAATATGTTTTGACGTTGTTTATTTCAGCAGAACAATCACAATAAACATATACATTACGTAATTACCTAGTGTTCATAAAGGTTAAATCATCGTCCCAGGAGACTACTTTTACCAGGCAGGCTCCTCACATTATATGTTTTAGCACCCTCTTACGAAACATGTTTAAAACGCTGAGTTAACAGATGTAGGCGATCTAAACACCTATTTTTATAAACAGTGTAAAATGTAAACACAGTTGCAAACAGCGTTGGACTGAAGCCATTCGTTGCATGTACATGTAGTAGTAAATAATAGTTCGCTTATATGGCGCTCACATCCAGGCACATTGCCTGCTCACGGCGCGACGTACATTACTATTCCCGGTCATAGGACACTATCGTACCTTCCGATACTTTTTCAACTCCATGGGGATCATACAGCCATGCTGCCTATTAGGCGCAATAAACTAAACACTCACGTTGCCAGCACACCCATTTTACAGCTGGTTGAACTGAGACAATATGGATGTAAGCATCTTGTCCAAGGATACTACGCAAATGTGCCCCCTCGGGACCCGAACCTAGGTGCCTCCACCGGGGATCGAACCCGGGTCTTCAGCGTGATAGGCAGACGCCTTACCACTGCACTATTGCGCGTACACTTACACTCATCCCGACAAGAGGTTTCATACGTAGGTAAATACTTACATCCAATTGCAAATGCTACGATTATTCACCAATGAGTGTTTCAGACAAGATCCTTTGAAATAATGCACAATAATATTCCTTGGATGGAGCCTTTGTTTGAAATTAATTCATATCATAAACCATCGAAACGTCAACACGTTTTAACTACAACAGCTTAATGTAAGACTTTTCCGTCTCCTATCTTCGCAACCCCTTTGTAGGTCAAGGGATCTTTAGCCTCGTTTTCAATGTTGGGAGGTGGGTAAGGGCGAGTGTCAAACGTAACATGTATTTATATCTCAAATTTACATTACCGGGTCGTGCTTTGCCTGCAAAATGCATCATTGCCGTGAATTTTACAAAAAAGATAAGTATTTAATTTGATATTTCATTCTTTCCCCATGTCATATATTGTTGGACTAGCACGGTGTGTACCTGTAGGTTATGTCAAAATACGTACACAGTGGATGTTGAAAATATGTTTTTGTCAACAAAAACTTCACTCTCTCACTCAACTAAGATTATAAGATAATTTAATGACAAAGATACCTTGGGTACTACAGTGAGTGAGTGAGTTTAGGTTTACGCCGCTTTCAGCAATATTCCAGCAATATCATGGCGGGGACACCAGAAATGGGCTTCACACATTGCACCCATGTGGGGAATCGATCCCGGTCTTCGCCGTTATGAGCTCTCGCTTTAACCACTGGGCTACCCCACCGCGCCAGGGCACTGCAGACAGCAACCGTTTAATAATATCAGTCAGAAAACGAAATACCTAGTTAATTGTGATTGTTAT